AAGGTTGAAAAACTTACATAGCCCTTTGGAGAAAAAGGATCCTTCAGTGAGGGAAAGAGTAATAATTCCCAGAGCATACATCTCCTTCTGCTGACGGGAAGGAATCCTGCTATGGAGAGAAGTGTGTTTCCATCAACAATAATTTATTTAGTACAAGAAACATTAGTTATATCATTACATTAGTTATATCATTACAAGATTACAGTCTTATTACATTTCTTTGTAATTCCTTTTTAAATCTTACCCATGTCTCTCAGTCATATCACTCGCCAATATGTTGACAAGCTGTCTCCTAGCGCGGTGCATTAGTGAATTTTCTGACTTGTACTCCTCAAGAATATCCTCTCCTCCAGGCTTCTTAAGCAGGGCATTTTCTACAATCTACTCGCATAACAGGAAAAGGGAAAATAAGTTTCAGTGTTCAATTCAGTCTATTATAAAAAACATACCACAACATGTCTATATAGACTACGGGTGAAAGTTCAGAGGAATGACAAAAAACAGAAGTGTTGTGAATGGTAAACATCTACGAAGGGAGCAAATTAATAACATTTTTTTTGATAAAAAAGTGAGTTTGGAACGAAATGCTTAAACGTGAGACCTTATAATTGATAGTAAATCAAAATAAGACGTTTCCAGCTCTCAATTACCTCCTTTGCTGCCTCTGACACGGAAGCCTTTGTTGCAGAACTGCTCATGTCTTCTTTGCTGGATCTATTTCTGCCTGTGGTCATACCCAGTTCTCTAAGGTCACTGTCACTTGAAGGAAGTGATATGGTGTCCGCGAGGGAAGATGGTGTTGAATGATCTAGAGGAGAAAAGTCTTTAAAAAGAGAGAATTTTATTAACTTAATGTGGCTTTATCCATTTAAGTATAAACATTTTAAGTAACCTTAAAGTATTCAGATTATATTTTTAGTAATCTGTAACAAATTTGACCTAACCTTGACCACTGCCATGTTCCTTCCATAAAGAAAGGTCAATGTTAGGTGCACCAAATAGCCCTATCCATTAACATTGGTTTTCTTAATGACACCTACCTTCATTGGAAATGCTGTCACGTACTGTCAGGCACATGTCTGGATTGGCCTCCAACAGCTCTAGAAGAATGTCTTCCTCTACTGCTGTGTCAGTATCATCAACAATGTCAAGTAGAGCTACATCAGGAAGCCCAAACTTGTTTTTGACAGTAAAAAGGAGGGAATGTAAGCAGATTAAGTCACCTGGAGCAAATTTGAAATAATCCTGCTTAACTCTGTTAAACTAAAAAGAATCATGTACAACCATGTTCTAACTAATGTCAATGATTCCACTATGAACTGTCATTAATGTAATATAAACTGTTAAATACAAAAGTAGCAGAGTGGCAGAACTTTAAATAGTTCTGCCACAGATCATATTGTGCTGTGATTTGTTGTTAAATTCGCTACATATTTCATTTTGCCTTCAAATGATTTACCTTCCCTGGTGAATTCTGAATAGGTGAAGCCTGAGGGCAATTTGATGTTCTTCTTGATAGTATTGCATTTCACCTTCAGCAACATCCTGAAACTGCAGCTAGTGAAAAAAGGAAAAAACGGTTCAATCTCCTGCAACGAGATAACATATGTATTACAACCAACAGTGATGATTGTTCATCATATGCAGGAAAAAGAAAAGAAAGAAAATCAAAATATTCTGTTTACATGATCAGTTTATTGCAATAACTAAACAGTTAAATCTGAACCGCACAGGTAAAGTTACCGTTACTTGAGAAGGCTGGTTCGTTCCACCAGATGAGGTTACTAATCCAGACATGACGCAGTTTAATTTCCCAACATATCTAGGACTTCCACAGCAGAAACAAAGCTGCAGCAATCGGTATATCTGCCATTTTAATGGCGCAGGCCTTCATTACTGACGAAAAACAAACGCGGGCGTGCACAAATCATCTTAAACCTGACGACGACGACCTAGCGAAACAGCGCCAGTAGCCCCCCCGTCGGACGACCAACCACCTTGACTAACAAGTTTTCTGCGGGAAACCCTGAACACCCAACAAACACCAAAACAAAGCAGCCGTAATATACAAAAAAAACGTGTGTGTGTGGTGTGTGTGTGTGTGTAGACCTGCCCTTTTCCAACTAAAATAAAGAAGCATAATACATATTACCATACATTTTATATATATATATATTAAAAAAGGGATAAGTATCTCACCCTGCCCATGATGATAATAGAATATGTACATTTATGAATGCTAATGCTAATAGCCTACTATTTACTATTTGGAGGCGAACCGGGAAGCTGAAGACTGATGGAATAACACCATCTCGGTCGGACAATCTGACCCGTCTTATCAAAATCACTCTGCTTGAAGTGTTCACAGCAAAGCACTGATGATCGGGTCGTCGTGGCGCAGGGGTTAGAGAAGGTGTGCTGGGAAGCACAAGGTTGGTGGTTCGTGTCCAGGCTGCCCCATGTTCCATGTCGAAGTGTCCCTGAGCAAGACACCTAACCCCTAATTGCTCCCCAGGCAAAAATGCGAAAACGCCATGGGTTTAAAGTGTAATGTAAGTCGCTTTGGATAAAAGCGTCTGCTAAATGACCTGTAATGTAATGTAATGATGAATCACTTGCTGTAAATCCATCTCTCCTCAAAGCCACTTCCCACTTCTTCCTCACATGTTTGTCCTTTGGAAACCTTCAAAATGAAAACGGAAGATTTGGGAGAGTCTACACAAAAACATTTCACAAAGAGGTTCAAGCTTATTTTCTTTCTTCACATTTCTTATAACCTTTCTTAAACAAAACTCCTATGTTGATGAATATTGTTGATGATGAACCAAAGTTGCTGAAATTGTAAATAAGCTTGTTTGCAAACCATTCTAAGGTCAGATGTTCTGTTGCCTTTATTTTAAGTAAGTGGGATGGGTATGAGATACGAGAGGTATCTTACTTTTGTTGAATTACATGTGAATAATACACTGTGTTGGGCAAGTTGCTTTCACATTGAACTCAGCTAAGCTATCAGTTACTCTGCCATGAATAAAGCTTCACTACACAAAAGCTACTACACAGTGAAATGCAGCAAGCTAAGTATCACAAACACAGCAGTAGGCTAGTTCACTACATAGCAAGCTACTTTAAGATGCGTTAATTCCACATGACAAGAAAGTTGTGTGGCCAATGTTATACCAGTAATAGGTTATATTTCTACAATAACATTATTGTGTCCGTTTCAATCTAAGTGTTATGGAATATGACTTATCAAGTCTCAGTTCATAATCAGGTGAAAAACAGCCGGGGAAGTAAACATAGCCAAGCTAGCTGACTGCGATTTCACTACAGTAAGATACTTGCTCCTTCTCTACTCTCTGGTAATATTCTTTTCACAAAACACAACAAATAGGACGGTAATATTAAATCTTACTTGTGAAAGGTTATCCCCCGAGCCCTGCTGGCGATGGTCCGCCGATTAGCGCAGAAATAAGCAGCACAGTGCTGCGGCATCCTGTATCTTCTGCTGCTACGCAACTACGAGTACCCTAACCGCTCCAAGATGGCGGCCGTATTTCTCGCGACCAGAAGCCAATGCGGCGTCTATGTATATTATGTCTATGGGTAGTAGCATGCTAACATTAGGTAGGTGGCTCATACACCTCGCAAATCCTCTCAGACTTATTTTTCAGTTACAATAAAGGGTTTTTTACATTGCACAGTGTCTATTTCTCGGTAATTTAAAAAAAAAATCTAAGCAAAAAAAAGTAAAACAAACAACTTTTAGGTACAAATACGACCATTTACGGAGTTTGGTCCGCCATCTGTTATTTTTGAGCTTCGCGCAATATGCAATATGTTGGATATAGGTTAAAATATGGTTGAAAAAAAAACATTTAAGAAATATTAAAAAATTGTCTTTATCAAATAAAATTTCGCGACCCCCCTGCAGTACCTCCGCGGACCCCCTGGGGGTCGAAAGCGACGCAAGCAACGCAAGCCTCCCGCAGCGCACAAGGCTGCGATTGGTCTGCTAACTACATCCTTTACGGAGTCTCACATTTCCGCTTTCATAGCCCGATACCGACATTATTAAAACGAATAATGTTTACAAAAGAACGGATCAGATTGAAGAACTTTTGTCGGAAGAAATGCGTAAATATGACCGCTTATACAAGCCGTCATTGGCAGGTTGGATTCACGGAGGGAGATCTCCGCAAACGCCGGTTTACCGGTCGAGAGGTGCACAAAGTTGTGGAGGAAAATACGGGACAAATGTGTCCGCGATGAAAAGCAGCAGTGGCGATGCACGGGGCAATAAAGTCTTTGATATATAAACAAACAAACCAACAACTTACACACACAAAGACGTGACTCTCTAGGTCCTCTTCAACAAAACACGTCACTCCGCCTGTTGTTCTGGCGGTGAATTGCTCTGCAACACACGCAGAACCATGAATTGAAACAAGTGCGTCGATGCAACGACGCAGAAGCATGCGCCAGCCTTAACAAATCTTAGCACTTAAATTGTACTTATAATGCCACTTATCTATAGCAAATAGTAAATTGGCTTATTTGAGGAATAACCCTTTCTTGTTTCCTGCTCTTCTGAGTTTGTATCCCTATGGTTGAATGCACTTAAGTTGCTTAAGTCGCTTTGGATAAAAGCGTCAGCTAAATGACATGTAATGTAATGTAATATATACAAAATGTAATCAACTTTTTTTTCATGTGGTGAATATATGATACACGGAAACTATCTTTGGAAAGATATAGCTTTTTAGTTTTGTCAACTAACAAACTTCTATGGCCTTTAAGTAGCTGTATGTTTCTGGATTATATATAAAATATAATCAATAAACAGACACTTACATTAGATTACATTTACTTGCGTCTGCTATTATTATATCATAATTAACTAAGTACCTAAATCGCTAAAGTCACGATGACATCACGTGGTTATCACATGGGTTGTCGTCATATTCCGGTTTGAATACAAAATTCCCTCCAAGTTTCCCGCCGGACCCCTTATCTGCAAGGACTTCCTGTCCCACCCACATTCTCGTGTCGCTTCCGGGTGGCCCAAAAGCGTCAACTAGCAAGCCGTCGTTATTTTGGCGCTGTAAACAAAAGTTAGAAAACGGTTAAGCTCCCACAACACGTGAAACGAAAAGACATGCATATCAAAACAGGTAAGTTTGTACAACTTTCTGATATATCTTAATACAATTCCTCACTTTCAGAGGCGATTTTGTTTGTCCTGTCGATGGTGTTAGCAAGTATGCTAGCGTTACAGCAGCCTGCTCGGAGCTTTGAATGAGGGTTACGAAACTTTGACGTCGGCATACACGCTAACTTGCTGCTAATGTAATTATATGGTAAGGAACTATAGACCTCTCGTGCGCACAGGTCCTGTTGTTGAGTCATTTTCGTACTACATTAACCACATTTATAACGACAGATTAATAAAACCCGTCGAGTTTACACCGCCGCATCATGACATTGCTGATTAAAGTTAACGTTAGCTATCGTCGGTGCTGGCTCTCAGCCGGGGCTGTCTTTTAACACAGCACACGAGTCACGCGATGCTATTTCATCGAATCAATACTATTATATACTGTTTAGTGTTGACTGTTTAGTCAGGGGCTCGTATACAGTCGGCTAGATGGAAGACCTTGGTTACAGCACCGGCTCGGGCCGTGTGTTTTCTCTTCGTGATCGTATTGTTGGACCTCAACTTGTGACCACTCGAGTTCAGTAACCACACAAAGCGCCCATCGACACGTCTTTGAGCTGTCGTGCGTGTCACGCGAGCAGAAAATGGCCACGAAAGTAGTAATATAAATAAACCTAACGTTAGTCAGTGAATGACATACGCCGTTGTGTAACATTGGTACACATCACTAACAGTGGTTCGCTGACTGGGATTGGGCGCCGTGCTTGGCTCTGGTCCAGTGAAAAGTATTCGCATCGCAAAATACTTTTTTTATGCGTTATGTTTAACTCTACATGCGTTTTAGAAGAGCAGGACAGTGTTACAGTGCAGTGGGGACTGATGATGAGTGATGTTCTTTGTGACTGTAATCACCGTCTAGGTAACTAGTTTCTGGGATGTGTGGAATGTGGATGTTGGTGTTCAAACCCGCTGTGGCTCGGAGGAAAACCAACGTACGGCGTTGTTATTTTACGGTTCCTCTGTCAATCTTAACGTTTTTATTAATTAGTGGAATCCGTATTAATCATATAGGAGATAGTATAAAAGTAAAACAAAAGCCAGAAACCAAGGGGAATCAGTCTACACAACTTGACAATTGTATCAACAAATAAATATATCGGAATCCATGAAACGGTTACAGAATGTGCTTATGCATTTATTGTGCAAACTTCAACGTAGTAAAAATACACCCTAAAAGAATCAGCCAAACAAAGTGTCGTCTTTTTTTTTTAAAGCAACATATAGTAGGTCAATATTTCCAAGACAAACCTTCTTTCTCTGTCTTCTATACTCTATTGAAGAAGTCCTACATGGGTGGATTATTGCTTCTGTCGTTTTGCTTCACCACCTGCTTTTGCTTTCTCATACAGTGCCTCAAGCACATGCCTCTTCAAGCCATGTCTGGTCCTTTTTGGCTCTGCAGTATTTCTGGGGCTGCTGGTGGCCCTGAATCAGGCTGTAATCACTGTGATCACACCCTTTCTTCTAACAAGTTGTGTGGGAGTAATACAGATATTAAGTATCTGAATTCCCTTTTTGTCTGTGAAAGTAGACGGCAGTTTCATACATTGATCAACATCCTTCAGGAAAATCACAAAATGTGTTAAATGTTTTTTTTTATGCTTAAATATATTATATTCAAGAATTTCCATACCATTACCAAATTGACTTGCGGTTTTAGAAGAAACAAACCCCCACATTTTTCTTTAATATGATTAATGACCAACTGCCAACCTTTTTCCTCTGTCCTCAGCCGCACTGCAACCTTAATTCCTGAACTTGGTTGCAGTTTGCAGGGTGGACTTAACGGGTGGAGTCAACTGTACATCTCGCTGTAGTGGGGCTCAAGCCCTTTAACCAAATGCTATTAAATCAGTTTTGTCTACAATTGGGCGTGGTGGCATGTATGCAGCAATACTTGCATTCCGTACTCTGGTCTGAATCTGCAGTGTGAGGCTGGAACATTTTGATTTGAACTTAAATCTTTAAAAAAAATCCATGGACTGTATATTTTTTCTAAATTATACTGTTGTATTGTAATTGTTTATTTCAACTGGTTGAAAACTTTTCCCCCAATGGATCAGCTGTTTGTGATTTAAAGCAGATATTCAAGAAACTTGACGACGTGTCTTTCAGGTACATGGGAAGCCAGCAACACTTCGTGTGAGTCCGATACCCTGTGTGATCCAGCAGTCCTCGTAGCAGCCACCAACTCCGATCCCCACATTCGTAACCGCCGCCTGTCTCCCGGCTCGGGCAACTGTGGAGGTGGTGGAGGCGGAGGCTGCATCTCTGGTGGTGACCAACAGCGCCGGCAGCTTTCTGCTGAAGGCAACCTCGTCGGACCCGGCCACCCGCACACTATCAGCTTCCGCAGGGAAAAGGAGCGCAAGGGCCATCAGCACAAAGGCCGCAGCCTCCGCAGGGAAAGTCAGAAGGGGGTCGGCCGAGTAAGCGAGCGGGCACAAAAGGCTAGCCAAAAGGAGAGGTGGGTGGAGGACAGTCTGTCGCTGCTCAAGCCCCCACCTGCCTTCCCGGTGCAGGACAGCCCCGCCAAGCTGCAGCCTGCCGTCAGCTACGCATCCAAGGTGAAGGCGGGAGCACCGAGTGGGGGGCTGGAGGAAGACCGCCCTGCCATCGGTGTGCTGCTACAGAACCAGTGGGGTCTCAGTTTTATCAGCGAAGCGAGGCCATCTACAGAGGTCTCCGGGCTTCGGCCCGCTATCAACACCCTCCTTCCTCAGCCCATAGACGCCGAACAGTCAGCAGGTCAACAGTTCGAAACAGTCCTCACAGGCCACTCTCCGGAAGACTGGTCTATTCCAGTCACTACCTCCATCACCCCCACCACACGCCCAGAGGTGGAATTGAGCAACGGGAAGCTGCTGCTTAGTTGCCGTCATCTAGTGGAGGCACTGCACTATCACAGTAAAGGTGAGAATTATGTTTTAAAGACGATGTTAATCTTATCTTGATTTATTTTTATTTCCAAACATAAAACTCACTATTGCCCTCTTTTATTCCCCTCAGAATGGAATGCTATCTGCAACAAACAGAAAAAAGGTAAGTCAAAACTTTTATTTTTGAGGGGTGTGGCCTATTTGCTTTAACTCCATTTTCAAAGTGTTTTCATGTCAATGTTTAGTAGTTTTGTATATTTTGGAAGCTGTCCACCTTGTAAAAGGTTTTGAGACCCTGCAGTTGGACCAGTTTTAATTAATTGTTGTAGAGACTGGTGTGACGGTCCTAAAAGATTTCTGTAATCTTTGGTATGACAAAATATTGGTGTGTGTATTCATTTTCGTCCTGCTGTAACTTCTGTCGAATAATCACTGCTCTACGTTTATTTTAATCAGCAGTCATGTTGCGAAAGTTGTTTTGTCAACAAATATTTAAGTGGTCATATTGGCTATTAATTTCCAATTTGTTTCTAGAGAAGTTGTTGAACAATAAATTCTGAGTGAAATTAATCAAACCTTTTTCTTATGATTCATTATCAAGATGTTATGTGGTACTTTATGAAGGTAATAATATAATAGGCTACATAGTCTGCACCAAGGCGGACACAACCATATCGCTCCAACCTACCAACAACAACCTTGTTCTCCGTGAAATCCCAGTACAGCCACTCGTACCTTATCGCTTAAATGAAACACCTAGTGGTAGCTGGATCAAGGTTGTATACAATGAAAGCTTTTTTTTTTTAATTTCTTATTTGTAGAAACTTGTTTCCTGACATTGTTCTCTTGTTTTGCAGTTCCCAAACAAGTCGTCTGGTACAAGGAGACCTAGGAGCACCCTCCCCTAGCATTGTAACACCACAACCCCGCGTAAAGATGGACAATTGTACGAGCCCTGTTCTCACTTACTCACACACACAATGAGGTCTTCACGCAAAGCCGCACTGAGACACTTTGGACTAACTCTTGAGATCTTACAGCAATGGACTTTTTTTTAAACGCCTTACAGAAAGCCTGCCTTAATTAATCAGACCTGTTTTCATCACCTCATTACCATTTTTAGCGTGTATGTGTATAACTGGTCATTTATTTTTCTTTTTAAAAGGATCTTTGCTGAGCTGTAATTTAATCCCCCCCCTTTTTGAAATTTGCAGTCAGTTTTATCTTCTGTGAAGCGAGTGGTCAATCAAGCACTTTGTCCCAAAAAAAATCTGACTAATCTGTGTGGGAAAAACCCTCACTGGAGCAGCCCCCCCATCTCAAATAGAAACAGAAGGTCTTGTAGGGTTTTATGGTAAATGTATGCAGATGACTTGTGTATCTTGTGTCCTCAGTTTACAGAGAGGGGGGGGGGGGGTAGTCAAAGGCACAGTTCACCCTTAACCCATCAGATCTTAATGCTGTGTCGTTTTTATTTGGTCCCCCAGTTGGGTGAACATTACTGATTTATCCATAAGGGATCTTACCATGTTCAGTAATAAAAGAATTACACTGGAGGAGAAATGTAAGTGAACAGTATTGCTTAATAAAAATGAATGAACTTGAACAGTTTCCTTTTTTAAGTTTGGATTTATTACTGCATACTAACAATAAGGGATTTGTAACTATTGTATAACTAAAAAAAAATGTTTGTCACAATGGACATCTTCACTACCATAATTCACTGTACTGTTTTAAAGTCCGTGTCTCAGTAGCTTAAGTTGAAGAAATGTTTTGGCAAATCAACTGACCAGAAGAATTTAGGAAGGAGCCAAGAAGTTCACCCGCTAAATGTGAATCTAACAACTTTCCCAAGAAAATTGTAACTGGTCAGTTGACAAAGACTAATTGAAAAAATAAGTTTAATTTAAGCAAAATTGTGTCTGGAGTAGAGCAGCATAAGACGTCACAGCGCCATGGTGTTGTTCAGTCTCTCCACGTCACCTCCACTTCATCGGTTCTGTACCTACAAGCATAATATATATTTATTATAGCAAGGAAGGACTGCACAAACTATGCACCAATGTACATTGTTGCGATCATCTCAAATACAATTGACCTAAAACAAAAACCTATAGCAGCACACTGTACAAAAACCCAGGCAACCCACCAGCATTTCCATGAACGGGCACAGTACAAAGAACTAGCAACGTAATACCTTTGTGTAATCCATGAGTCTTCCAGCTCCGTCACTTGACCGGCCCTGAACATCTCCCAGCCTGCTTGAGCAATCATTGCCCCGTTGTCAATGCAGAATCTGTGGCACAAAGTGGACATTGTTGTTTTGACAAAACAATACTATTTAGGAATTTAGCAGTGAGGGCTCATGAAATGACATTTTGTTAAAGGGACAGTTTTGTTTTTCCATGTGCAGTAGGGGTGTAACGATTCATCCACTGAATCTATTAATTGATTTATATTCCTGCGATCCAACTGAATCTATCTGTGCTCCGCAAAGCGGCATTCCGGACGACATATATCGATTGAAATGGTACATAATCGATTTGTATCGATACTTGGAAACTGCACATTGGATTTAAGCACAAAAAAACGGTCTGGATGTGTGTTTGTTTGTTTTTTAGCACTTTAGACACGTTAAATGTTACTCGATTCAGTCGGCCTGTCATTGATGTCATCAGTACGCAGCGGCAGTCGCGCGAAACTCTCAACAAAACACAGCGTGGAGGAGACTGCGAGCGAGACATTTACAAACCAACTTATCGATCCAGCGTGTGGAAACAGTTTGGCTTTTGCAAACACAGAGGTGTTCTAAATAGGTCGGTCGCTGTTTGTAGAATATGTAGAAGCCAAATAAAAAAAACACAAACACGATGAATCTTATCGGCCATCTTCTAAGGCGCCGTGGGATTTAACAACGGCGACAGTCAGGCACCTCTAGCAGCGTTACCGCTGCAGCAGCAGCAGGTAACTCCAGCTTTGCAGACACCTCAGGCCTCGCCAGCACGAAACTCAACATCATAGCAACAATTGCCAAGTTTATCTGTGAAGACATGCGACCCTACAATGTGGTTGAAAATCCGGGGTTCTGTGAATTGATCCAAACATTGTGTAATTATTGTGCAATCTTTACATTGAAAATGGCACTTGATTCAAATAAAAGGTTAAAACATTTGCCATTAATTGTTGTTTGCTTGTTTATAATATCCATAATTAATTTAAACCTGATTTCCTTACAAGAAACAACAGGGATCTCGGAAACTTTGCCTGCACTGTCCAATAAAGTTACTGAATCGATTTCAAGTCACTGAATCGAACTACTGTAAATTAACCCAGATCGTCCATGAATCAAATCGGCAACCATGAATTGCGATTCGAATCGAATCGTTGTTAAAATGAATCGTTACACCCTAATGTGCAGCTAATGTACCAAGAATCTCATACGGTTATCTCTTATACTTAAATTACATCATCCAACAAACTCTTTAACAACACATAATGGGTTCTTCATAGGTACTACTTAACCCTCTGAACCCCCAAACAGCTGAATGGAATTGCATTTTTTTCAATTCCCAAAACTACATTTATTAGTTATGACATTTGACTACAGCCATAAGTGGTCATAGTCAGACAGCCCGTAAAAACGCCTCCCGTCAAAAAAGCAACCAAAACTTATCTTAAAATGTGGCCATTTCATCAAAAGCTTTTAATCCACTTATCATATATAATTCCCCATAAAAGAAATAGTTTGAATCAACCAGAACCTGTAAAACGCATCAGAGGGTTCACTGAAAGAACATCTTTGTAGTGATGATAAACCCAAGCTTGAAATTCGTTGAAAAAATGATCAGCAGTACTTGTGGTCTAGTCTCAAGAATTGCAACATGTTGTCGACATAACAAATTAAGGTTTATGTGGATTGGCCGGCTCACCGTTCATCTGTGGCAAACAGCTTGGCTCCTCTCTCCTTACACATCACCCCCATCATCTCCTGCAAGCGCATGTTACCTAAAAGACCAGACCACAGGTGAAACCGCCTGGTGAATAAGATGATGTGAGGCTTCCTTCCACACACACACACACGCGCACACACACACACACACGCACACACGCACACACGCACGCTGACATTACCGATTTTCTGTTCTTTGAATAAATGTCATTTATTACTCTTATTTGTCTGGTTACACAATTAATGTTACGTCAACATATTATACACTATTTTCTTCTCAACATCCTATACTGACCTATTTCCTATGAATACCCTTCTGATAAACTAAAGTATGACTCATTGCAACATACTATACTATGAATCACTTTTCCAACATAAAGTGCTGTGACTTCTTTTAAAACCACTAGATTAATCATTTTTGAATGACCTTTTTATAATGCTCTCAGGAAACGAATCCTAGGATTTTCAAAATAATATACTATGACTTTTATACCCTTTTTGCTTTACATAGCTCTTTTTGTACTATACCATTACATTTCACTTTTTTCAACATTACTTTTTTGACATTAGAACAATATTTATAAAAAAAAGTAACTAAAGAGTGCTAAAAGCTTAAAAGTATGCTATTATCAATGAAATGTACCATACCCACTAAATATAAATACCATATATAAATACATGTATGTATAAAAGTATTATACTAGTGGCATAGTAGAAAAGTAGTTTCTTACTTTACTGGGCTCTTTAGTTGTTACATTAAACTATTATGATCATTGATGCAGTAACACCCACTATGCATTTCATTGTTGTAGTAAGCTGATATACTGTATAATCATCCAGCCATCCATCTTCAAAGCTGCTTATCCTTCATAGAGGGTTGCGAAGGGGGGGTCTTTGGACTGTGGGAGGACACGGGGTGAACATGCAGACTCTACAGACGGTGGAGTTGAACACAGGACCTTCTTGCTGAGAGGGGACAGTGCTAACCACCACACCACCGCGCCGCCTTATACTGTATAACGCACCATACATTTATGCAAAAGGTACACACACACACACACACACACACACACACAAAGTACTTACAACCAACGCCCCCCACAATGAGGACCTCCTGGGAGCCGCAGTGTGCCATGGCCCTCTCTGTGATCTCTACCAGCATGGAGAACACAGTCTCCTGCAAAGAGGGAGGCATAAGCATCAGGGAATACTATTAAAATCTAAAATTTCTCAATTGAGATTTTTAACTGAGCTACACATTGACTGGATGCAGCACCTGACAGCACGAGCCCCAGGGTCCTGAAGACCTGTCAATCGTGCTGTCAGGGGTCCTACAACACGTCTTCAACATCAGCCTAAAGCAGAAGGAAAGGCTGGCGCATGCGTTGTGTGTTCATCACGGGCACATTTGTCCCGTATTTTCCTCCACAACTTTGTTCCCCTCGACCGGCAAACTGACGTTTGTGGAGATCTCCCTCCATGAATCAGAGGCCATCAGCGCGTCCTTATAGTCCGCCAATGACGGCTTATAAAGCGGTCATATTTACACATTTCTTCTGACAGAAGTTCTTCAATCTGATCCGTTCTCTCGTAAACATTCTTTGTTTTAATAATGGCCGTATTGTGCTATGAAAACGGAAATGTGAGACTTCGTAAAGGATGTAGTTAGCAGACCAATTGCAGCCTTGTGCGCTGCAGGAGGCTTGTGTAGCTTTTGACGCTAGTCTAGAAAAATGGGTCGATGCACGCAAGGTGGTGTGAAAAGGCACGCAAGGGACACGCAAGGGGCGTCGCTCTGAAAACGCAGAAGCATAAACTAGGCTTAAGTCGTGCCTCCAAAAAAGTTGACTTCATCTGGCCTCAATGATTACAGCCGGCTTTCCCCCACATCGCCGCATGCCCAGCTGTGGCTGCAGGTAAAATCCTCACTGCAATTTGCACACCAGCCTCGTATGGGACGATGGCATCATCTGCCTGCTGCACCTTGAGGGAGCCGATGGCTCTATTTGAACCACTTTCTTTTATTTCTACAGGGCATTCAACACCATCTAACCACTGCTGTTGGGTGGTGGGGTACATATGCCCAGTGCCTCCTGGATCACTGACTACTTGACAGACCACAGTTTGTCTGACTCGGCTGTCTAATATGATGCGGAGTGATACTGGAGCTCCACAATGATTGCTGATGATGATGGATTAAATATCCTTTATTGATCTCCATGGGGAAATTATTCTCTGCATTTAACCCATCCGTCTGCATGTTCTCCCCGTGTCTGCGTGGGTTCTCTCCGGGTTCCTCCCACAGTCCAAAGACAGGCTCTAGGGATCAGGTTAATTGGGGACTTTAAATTGCCCGTAGATGTGTGAATGTGAGTGTGAATGGTTGTGTGTCTCTGTGTAGCCCTGTGATTGGCTGGTGACCGATCCAGGATGTACCCTGTCTATCGCCCAAAGTTGGCTGGGATGGACTCCAGCCCCCCCGCGACCCTGTGTGCAGGATAAGCGGTTTGACAATGAATGAATGGATGGATTTAACCCATCCCACACAGTAAAGGCGCCTGGGGAGCAGTTTAGGGGTTGGCTGTCTTGCTCAGGGATATGGCACATGGAGCTGCCGGGGTTCGAACCGACAACCCTGCAGTTCTCAGCGCACCCTC